CAGCTTGCAGCAGCGTCTCAATCTATTTTTATTTATGGGAAAAAAGATTAGGATAAAACTAATAGGTGGCAAAGTTATCCGTTTCCATAAACATATATTATGCTAGTGAGCACAATTACATCAGTAAGGTCTAAATGCACATCTAATTTACAATACGTTCAGAGGCAGAAGTTGCCATAACTATAAACAAAGTCACATTTTGAATAGGTTCATAGCTGGGAAACATTGTTGATATGTAAAAATTGTCATGAGCATGGCAGCCTGTACAGTGGAATATCGAACAGCCAATGACTTTTATTGAATTACCTTTTCAATTCTATTGTCTCACGGGTCTAAGCTTACAATATCGTTAAAATTGCCCACTAATGAACACAAAAAGATAGGAAGTGATCGTATCTTTTCGATCAATAATTATAAATAAAATAATATTTTTATATTCGTGTACACTTTCCTGCACATTTTATAAGGCCAAATGAGACTATTAAATTATTATTTTATGTGCCACCTTTTGCAGTGATAAAAGAAAATGCTATATATGATACAATATCCCATCGTTTCTTACTAACATCATCTAGATTTAATCTATGGAGAAAATCTTCTACCAATCCATTTGTCAGCTTCCACTTTATCCCTTTCATATGTCCTTATACCGATTTCTTTTTTAGGCTAGCTTTCTGCCTATGTCTACTTCACTATAAATAAATCGACGTAATAACACACTGACCATTGTGTCTGGATATCTCAATGCTTTATAATGCCCTGGCCAAAATTATACAGAGCTTGACTGTATGGCTAGCCAAAATTTTATCAGTACATGCTGTCCGATCGGTCTACCTCTTCTGCACTGCGTCTCTGCCCGAGCTTCCACATGTCTACTTCTTTGTCGGCTTAGCTATACTTGCTGATCTACCGTACTTGAATTACCAGATCAGGAGAGTTTATCTTTGTCGTATATCCCACTAAAAAGCCTGATCCCACACCCTATCAGCCAGAGTGGCTGCCAGGGTATCTCTCAGTTTGCTGGCCCGTAGGTGAATCCGGGTTTCTATCCGGCTGTTGCCTGCTGGTTGGCCGGCCTGACTATCCATCCAGTGGCATGACGCCGCCCTCGTCGCCATTAAGTCAAGGGTCCATCCGCATGCTCCCCTCCTGCCCACACAGGCAGATATTCTCTACCGATCAGCGTGCCTGTATTCGCGTGCCTGAAATCCAGGTAGCCGCATTGATTAGCCGGGTGCTTGTTAGCGAATAAGGAAAGAAAGATGGCCTTGAGGAAGTCGATCTTCTTGCGTGAAAATTAGTTCGATTAGTAGAATCTAGGCTCAAAATGTATACTTACAAAATGCAATTTGAAAATAATAATTCCTCTGTCTTCAAGAAAGGACGTGAAAAATCTATGTTAAACATTTGCTCCGAATTAAGTAAAACTGACACGAATCATTTGTAAGTCACCCGCACAAAATGCTATCAAAATCTTTTATTCTTATTCGACATACATCAATTTTCCAGAGTACTATTTAAATGTATAGTGCAATACTAAATATAACTAGAAAATATATTCAAAAGAAGAACAAAGAAAATCCAAAATCGCACCCAGTCTATCATATAAATGCTAATTACCCTTCTTGCAAATTTTCACCTTATCGAGACAGAGAGTCTCGGGAACTATAAGAAGTAAGAGAATTCATTTGAAATGTCAGGCAATGCCAAATAATTCGGAGATATGCGAAATGCTTAGAAAATGTATCTAAAAAGATATAGAACTAACAGAAGGGGGTATAAAACGAAGTTTATGTATGAAGCAATAGAAATAATAATTGTTTACTTGATTGATAAAATGTGGAAGTAAAGATAAGGAAACTCAATAAATCATCATTACCTATCGAACTCGTATTGATGGCTACAGAGAAACAAGAAAGAAAATCTATAAATTTTATTTTCTGACCTTAATTAATTCTATAGAAGTGATCTAACCCGGTTTTTTGAAACTTGATCTTGTTGCCAGTGGGACCTAGCTGCAGGCACCTTATCCAAGGTCCTCAGATATAGTAGTTATGATTACTTAGAGCGTACTTCTTAGGAAAAATTTAAAGTTGTAATATAAATAGGAGAAATAGTCTAAACTACATCCCTTGACTAAGTTAAGAGACTTTTATTTGTAATAAAAGATTTGGGACTATTTGGATAAAAATAAGACAAATGTCTTCTTAATAATAATGCCCGCGTCAGAAATATCATCAATAAACAAACCCTGCGTTGTGAAAAGCTATGCGCAAGGCCAAC